TTTTTGAGAAATAGTTACCTTCCAAAAAACACCACCACCAATACAACACAAAAGAAGCAATAAAATTTCAGTGTTGGATATTTCTTGGGTTAGCATAGATTTTTAAGCTTTCCTGGATCTTTTAATTCATTAGTTCAGCGTCCCCTCAACCTTTTGGGCAACAGTGACCAGTTCGGTGGAGAGAGGTTGTTCCGCAGACCAGAGGGGGCGTGGTTTCATGTGCTGCCTGCATCCCGCAGATGGGGCTTCACTTGTTTGCGCGGCCTGGTTTCTGGCATGTCGTGGACTGGTGCCAGGACTGGGGGGTTGGGGACATTAATTCATTGATTTATTCAATTTTATATACACTCAACTCCCCAGGTTTTTGAGTGGAAAGAAAAGCAAGGAAACAGTAAAACAATAAGAACAAATGTGTAGGCTGCACACCACCCTGAAGTATTAAATTGTCAGTGGTTCAAGATAAACAGATTCCACAAGTATGACTGGAACTCTATTGTTATAACCTAAGCAACAGAATCTTAGAAGATTGTCAGCAGTATCCCTCCTGCTTATATCCAAGAGAGTTTAAGGCACAGACAATTTAAATTTCTTTATAATGCTCTTTTCCTGTTCTGGGCTTAAGTCATGTCTTTCTAACTGCTATTGCCTAGTTTCTCCAAGGTCATTTCTGTGGTTCTCTACCAAAATAAAGCATGAAACTAGAAACAGAAATGGGAACCATTCTAAAGCTAGATTATGGAAATACATTCATACTAGGAAAAATACTTAATGATAGTAATGTATTTACAGATTTCCTGTCCCCATAATGGGCATCAAAATAGACATATACAGATAGTCCTGGACTAACAATTTTAACAGAGCCCAGAACTACTATAAGCTGTGGTTGTTAAGCAGGTCTCCACATGCCTGATATTATAGATAGTCCTTGACTTATGACCACAGTTGAGTCCAAAATTGCCATTATTAAGCAAGACAGTTAAATGAGTTTTGCTCCATTTTATGACCTTTCTTGTCGTTAGTGAATCACTGCAGCTGTTTAGTTAGTAACATTTTTTAATGTGAATCTGGCTTTTCCATTAACTTTGCCTGTTGGAAAGTTGCAAAATGGGACAACTCGCTGTGGCAAACTTGCTGTGGGACAACTCAACAATTCAATTTAAGTATTTAAAATAATTTAAAAAATATTTTACTTTCTGTCATTCACATTTCATCTTGTCCCTCCTTTTGTATCCTTTATTTAGTGATCCTATTTCACCCTTTCTTTGGTATTAGTGTAACTCTTGTGCCATGGCAAGTTATCCCATGGCAAGTTGGCTGTGGCAAGTTGTTCCGCAGCAAGCCAGCCATGGTAAATTGGCCATGTTGAGTTGGTCATGCTGAGTTGGCCATGGTAAGTTGGCTTCACTGAGTTGTCCTAGACCTGCAATATTCATAGTTAAGATTCTTTCTATAACTTCTGCTACAGCCATTGTAGTATGTTGTTATATATTAAAATTATTTTATTACAGTACTTTGACTGGAAGGGTGCTTTCTCTTCATCTTGGCCACCTCTTTTGTCATCTAACTCCCCCAAAGGGGAAATTATTAAATAGGTAAGGATTAATCATACTAGCTATGTTTAATTTCAACTCAAGGAGAACTCAGTTTTAATTTTTGTTCTGACTATTGTTCATTTTAGCCCCTAATAGATGATTTATGACCATTGATTTATGACCATTTGTTCAATGATCATTCAAAATTACAACAGCACTGAGCGAATGGCACTTTCTATGGGTCCTTGTGGCTCTCACTGTGACAGGGCCCTCACAGTCATGTGATTGCCACCTGGGAATTTACCATCTGGTTCCAGATTGTGTCACAGAGAACCCTGGTCATGAAGTTGCAATTTCTGACATTCCCCACAGCTTCTTAAGCAAAGTCAGTGGGGAAATTAGCAGGAAGTTGGAAGTTGTAGTCACATGGGGTCCTCACTTAATAATCTGCCTGGTTCTTGCTTAATGATGGCAACAGGGACTGCCAGAAATGCCATCACGAAATTACAGGGTCACGTGTCATTGTTCTTCTGACCATATCACTTAACAATGACACTTTCACATTCAGTTACCATTGTAAGCCAGGTATTACCTGTATGCAAAAACCAGAGCAGTCCGCTCCTTGGAAAAGATTGATCAGGATTTTAATCCCTTCCTCCGTAATAACTGGTTGCTGACTTTTGCTTTTCTCATTGCAGCATTGTATTTTTGAGATTCTGATTATGTGTGTTGAGGATTATATACTGTAGTACATTTTATATTGTGTTGCCCCCCACAATAATGTATGAGTAGAATAATTTATTTTGTTGGCATTAGGAAGAGTAGGCGTAATATATATTATTTTCCTGGCTATTTTGGGGTTTTAAATCTTCAGTAATGACGCATCTGAGTCCCAGATGTTTTAATCTTTATTAAAGATGTGTTCACACTTTGCAAGAATCTTTTAAAAGCAAAGACTGAAGTATTGTGTAAGGCATTTAAATGGATATGCATTTCTTGATCTGGTACTTCCTGCAGCTGGGTGTAGTGCTTAATCACTGTACCAACAGAGTTATATTTCTTTCATGAAAGGGCAAATTAAACAGCCTTGTGATCTGGCTAAGCATTTGAACAGCTGATTTCTGTTTATGCTAGGTTCCAAAGAAAATCCTTGAGACTTCAGGTGGTTAAGAATTTTACCAGGTACAGCTTTCCTCAGCCCTGCATGACCTGCTGAAATTCCCTCCTTATTCAAGTCATTAAGCATACCGAATATTTCCTTTTCATGAAGTTGTAGGAAAAAATGTATAAATGGATTTGGAATGTCCTGAGATTAAGTGGGTCACAAGCTTGCTTGCAAGTGGTTATTTTAAAAGCAGGCCTTGAGACTGGGAAGGTTGAAAGTAATTTGCTCTATGATTTATTACTATAAGGTACTTAACCTGGAGCTCTCCTTTAAAACACTGGGGAAAGCTTAATGTAGAAATGTAGAAATCAGTGATCTTTCAAGGACCCTATCAGTGTGCAAAACTCTGCTTGTTATCCAACATGAGCTTTCTATTTGTTTGTACGTATAAGTCAAAGTGTTGAGGCAGGTCAGTAAGTGTGGCCCCAGAATAACAGGAACAACAGCTCCATGAGAAAAAGACTTATTTACCTTACATTTTATTTCATTTATTCTAACATTTATATTGCTGCCCAGCTTGTACCAAACTCTGGGTGATTCACAGCCCAGATTTTTGATAGCTGTTCCTTTAAAAAAAATATTCATTTACATTCCATCTCTCTCTGGGAGCACATGGCTGCATTTATACACAACTTGTGAGGTGGTAAGAGAATGGGGTGCTTGAACCTGGGTCTCCAGCACTTAGCTGTTATACTGTTGACTTTTTTGCCTTGGGCCCCATTCAAGCTAATTTTAGAGCGATGATTGTTTTTCAGTTTTATCCCTTTAGACATTAATTTGTGCCATCTCTTCAGTCTGACATTACTTTTAAAAATGGTTATCACTGTGACAATGCAGTGGAAAGAGTTGTTTTGGGCACTTCAAGACAGAGGAGCAGAGAAAGGATACACGCTTTCACTAACACTCTCCCAGTTTGGGTGCTTCAGAATCAAATCCTATTGATGGAATTCTTCTCCCATGGATGGTTTATTTTTATACATTTATCTGGAAAATGTTAATATTTGAAAGCTTCTTAATATAAACATCGATGTACACTTGTGTGGGTAGAAAAATAGCACATTGGGGATCTAATTGGATTAAAACATTTACTTCTACCATGCATATTTTCTATGGGAGAGGAAGCTTTGGATACAGTAGAGCATTCAGATGAATTCCACCTCCTAGTTATTTAAGCATGGTAATACTTGGGAAAAAATGAAATGCTGAAATATCTTGCGCTGTAAGGCAGGCTATATTTGTTTCTATAGTGGTCATTAGAGAGTTTCAGATTTTTCTCAGATTTGTTTATTTCTTAAAAGTATTTGCCAAGTGCTTTGAATCATGTTGAGAACGCAGTGAACTTCAGAATGAGCTGGGTTTGATTGAGTTGGATTGAATACAAAGGTCACATATGTTTCTATTTCCTGAGTGGAGGAAGATAGCTCTCTAAGAATTTAGTGCTGGGAATGAATGTGCATGTTCACTAATTCCCATGTTTCTTGTAGAGCAACTCATAATATATAATTGTCATTTGATATGCATTAAATCATTTGCTTGCTGTGTGTTAAGAGTACCAGGCTCCCAAATGAATGGAGCTAGTTTCTTTGGGATTATTCTCCACAAACCACTTGCTTTAATAAGTCTGAATTTATCTTGTCCTCCTTTGATGTGAACAACCTTTTGGGGGTTAGCGATTGTGCTTAACATCTTTGGAAAAGCTGCAGTGGGTATGGGACGATTAAAAGTGGGTGGGATTATGACATCTGTTTGAGTAGGGGCTAGATGTCTTCTTTTTTTTCCTTCTGGGGTTTAGGGTTGTTACTTTAAAAATGTTAAGTCTGTTTTAAGGCTGGTGTTACAGTTATTGTGTTTGTTGCCTTTGCTGAGGAGTCATGCTTTCAGGTTTAAGCAATTGTGGCCATAGGGTGATGGGAAGAAGATGGCAAAAAAAAAAAAAAAAAAAAAGATTCTGTGTTGAGCCATAGGGTGATGGGAAGAAGGCCTAGTTAAATGTTCAGTTAGTGAAGCAATATGTCAAGGGAAAGGAAAGACTCTTCATCTGATCAATTGAGAAATTCACAGTTTCATGGTAATATAAAGCTATCAAATCAATCAAAGGTAGATTCTACAGGCAGGCAATATCATTTGGTGCTGGGCTGTCTCTGAGTCTTCATAATGGTGGAAATTAAAAAAATGTTGAATGGAGAAGACTCTGATTTTATGTTTAAGTTTAAATATTGATGAAATCAAGATCCAGTTTTGCTGATATTTGATATATTGATCAATTCCCAGCACACACTTCATAGTGGTTGCTTTTCTTGCAGGCAGTAGCAAGATTACAACGATAGACCATGGACTTCAACGTGAGACACTGGTGATGCAGTGGCAGTGAGTATTTTCAGAGCAGTTTTTCATTTTTTTAAAAAAATTAAAACTTTTTAGCCTCTTGTCTTTCATCTCCTTTGACTTCACCTCTTTTGACTTCACTTGCATCCGGATGGCAGTTTTCCCACGGATTATTTATTACAGTAGCATGAAATTTCTAACAGCATTTTCAGCGGGTGGGAGAATAAAGGAGAAAAGGCTGGTTCGAGGTGAAATTACAGATGTTTTTTTAGTGTCTACAATCACCCAGGACACAGCAAAAAAACAGCAGCCGTTGCAAAGACATATTATAAAAATGAGAACTGAGTTTGTGCTGGTTATAATGCTAACATTCCTTAAAGACACAGTGGTGCATTAACATGGCCATACTGTAAGTCAGAACATTGAAACTGCATCAGTGACAATCTTAGATTTATCTTACAGGAGGTGGGCAACATATCAATTGATTTTAAAAATATGTGGACTTTTTTTTTTTTTTGGTCCAGCTCATGATATTAGTTATATAAAAAGACACAGCTGGGCATAGGTGAAAGTCCTACAGTATTTTCCTGGCACTAACGGGTACTTTGGATATGAATCGGCCATGGTGGCGCAGTAGTTAGTGTGTAGTACTGCAGACTACTTCTGCTGACTGCCCGCTGACTGCAGTTTGGCAGTTTGAATCTCGCCAGGCTCAAGGTTGACTCAGCCTTCCATTCTTCTGAGGTTGGTAAAATGAGGACCCAGATTGTTGGGGGCAACATGCTGACTGTGTAAATCACTTGGGGAGGGCTGTAAATGGAGGTGGTATTCATCCAGTTCTGACAGGTTCTGAAGAACTGGTAGCGGAAATTTTGAGCAGTTTGGAGAACCAGTAAATACCACTTCTGGTTGGCCCCACCCCCATCTATTTGCTGCCTCCCGAGTCCCAGCTGATCAGAGTCCCAGCTGATCAGCTGGGTCTTCTTTTGTTACCCTGCACAGGAGAACAGAGCTGGAAAGCAGGTTAGTGGGGAGTGGGGAGGAAATGGGGATTTTACAGTATCCTTCCCCTGCCATGCCCACCAAGCCACGCCCACCAAGTCACACCACACCCACCAAGCCCACCAAGCCATGCCCACAGAACCGATAGTAAAAGAAATTGAATACCACCACTGGCTGTAAAGCACAGTGAAGTGGTATATAAGTCTAAGTGCTATTGCTATTGTTTTGGATAGCTTTTGATTATAAGCACATTCATAAGCAAAAGGGTATAATCTCTGTGTGAAGACTTTTTAAAAAAGGTTATAGTATTTTTCTTTCTTTCTTTACTCCCCATCTCTTCCTCCCTCCTTGGCTTTTGCAGATCAGAGAAGTTTAGTTAGAACCTCTTGGTGACTGAAGGTCTGCTAAGTTTGCTCTTGCTTCATGTTATTTTTGCTATTCCCAGCAATCTGCCAATTGTTATTACTTTTGGCAAACCTTTCACCTATGAGCCATCTGCCACTTTTCCAAAGGTTCTGCTTACTTGCATCCTTCCTCCAAGTGCATTTGGGACTTGGATTGGACTTGACAACTGGTTGACATCTGCTGTTGGTTTAATTCAGAACGCTGGGCTGCTTGGATCTGCTGCAAGTCTTGCAGCTGACCTCAGTCAAGAGATGCCGGCTGTGTTTGCCTTTTCTGCCAGTTAAGCTGCTTGTCACAAGCTCTGAATATCGGCCTTGTTTCCAATTTGCCAAACCACCAGTGCTTCTGCATTCCTAAATTTGAGATTTCTGGTCAGGTTATTTGCCTTGGCCCATTGTGCAGATCTAAGTGCGGTCTCTTAGTTCAAACCTTTGAACAGCTGGAAATTCTACACTAGTACTTGTGGAAGACTGGGTAAGTATTTTATGGAAGAAAGGGAAGGACTTGGTTATCCTGGTCCTGACGTTACTATATCAGCACAAGGATAGGACCGGAGCTTTTTTGGTGTGTTTGTAAGTTGGGCTATGCTGTGTCATGTCAATTTTGGAGAAAATACTTCGGATGTTTTTGGAGGAAAGTTGATCATGGCTGAGCCGTGTTGATTTAGATGTCCAATGTTTTGGGGAGAACATTGCCAGTCTTTTATGGGATATGAAATTTGTGATGTGGTGATTTCATCCTGTAATTCTTTTGCGGTCTCAAGCACTACAAAACTGTCTGAGGTGGTTAAACTGGAGGCTCCACAACTTGGGGCAGATCTGTTACATTTTGAGGGTGGGCTCCTCTGTCAAGCCACATAGATATTTGAGGATTTGGTTACAGGTAGCCTTCACTTAATGACTGCCCTGTTTAGCGACCATTTGAAGTTACAATGGTTCTGAAAAAGTAAGTATAAGATTGGTCATTGCATTTATGACTTTTACAGTATCCATGCAGTCTTTGATCAATATTTGGACATTTCACCACTGGCAGAAATGTACAACTGTTGTAGCATCCTGCAGTTATGTAATTGCCATTTGCCTGCTTTACAACCAGCTTTCAACAAGCAGAGTTAATGGAGAAGATGGCAGTAAAATTGCAAGTTGCAGTCACATGATGTCTCACTTAATGTCCTCCAGTGACTCACTTAACAGCAAAATGGAAAGTGATGTCATAAACCCAAATCCATAAACCCCAAACTCCTGTTTTGTTTAATGATGAATTGCTGGTCTAAACTTTGGTCACTATGTGGGGACTATCTGTATTTCTAAAGATCTGCTTGTTGATGAAAACTTGAATAGTGGCTCTGCTTCATCCATAGCTCCACCTTGAGCTCTCCTGGTCTGTCTGTCTCTTGCCTTCATCTCACTGTTGGTTGGATATGAAAATAGGATGAAATAATATCTGTTCTGTAATTGATCGGGTATTAGTGAGTACAAGATAGCAATAGCACTTAGACTTATATACTGCTTTATAGAGCTCTACAGCCATCTCTAAGCAATTTACAGAGTCAGCATACTGCCCCCAATAATCTGGGTCCTCATTTTACCTACCTCGGAAGGATGAGTCAACCTTGAGCCTGGTGGGATTTGATCTGCCAAATTGCATGCAGCTGGCTGTCAGCAGAAGTAGTTTGCAGTACTGCACTCTCACCACGCTACTCTTGGTCCCTCAGGATTGTTGGGGGAAAAATCTTTTTGTAGCTCTATGTCATGCCCTGATGTGCTGTGTATTGTCCTTTGGGGAAAGATGGACAAATTTTTTTGGCAAGTGGGATGATTTGGCTGCTATTTGTAGTTGCTTTGACAAATGGCCACTACAAGGCAAACTGTAAACTGTAATCCCCAAGAATGTAGATTTGGCCTTGAATAAGGAGAAGAAATCAGTGAAAAGTTTGGGGAGGAGAAATAGCAACGATCCTGAGAAAAATGGAAAAATCCACTGTGCCGTGATTTTGCTTTGTATAAAATGGGTTAGAGAGAAACAAGTCATTCACAACTCTGTTATTGCACACAGAAAAATAAACAGCATGGGATCCCTGCTGCTTCTGTTCTTGATCTTACCTACATTAAAGGTTGACAGAATTTTTGTGAAACATAGCATAGAAAACTGACGTCACACACACAAAAAAAACCCCTAGTGGTTCATCAAATCTGCCCTCTGAGTTTGTAATTTTTTTAAAATTTTTGTTGGATGATGGATATAAGTTTATCCCAAGGATGTTTAAAGTCAGTTACGGATGAGTGATGTAGTGATGACTGACTACCTCAGGTCAACCTTGAACTTGGAGGATTGGCATATATAATTTCTATATCTTTTGCGAGCGAAGTAACTTATTTCAATGTGATTCCATTAATTGCTTTCCTTTTCTGGAGGAGGTTTGAAAGAGATATTGGAAAGACGAATGCATGCAAATTATGGACCGTTTAAGCAGTAAGTAATAATATTTTAAGACGACTCTGTGTTCCCATTAGAATAACTCACTATTTTAATGAAGATGATAACAGAACAAAAACTATAATTCCAATGAATAGTGTCTAGGATTAAACCATGCATGATTCTCCTCTCTTCCTATGGCTTATTTTCTCTTTCAGTTTCTATTCCACCCACAGCTACCATCTTCTAGCTGTCATCTAATTTTAAGGAACTCAGTATCAACCCGTTCTTATTAATGAATCAACTTGCAGTTTCCATTCCTCAATTCTCAGGGTCCTCCTCCCTCATATCTTATTAGAGATTTTCTTATTTTTTAAAAAATAAAGTCTTCATTTCTGGGTTCTCTTACTATATGTTGTACAATGAACTCATTCTAAGTGCTGCTGCTGTGGAACCTATTTCTCTCTACTACTTTTATTACTTCTCTATAAACGGACTGAAATTGCTTAGTGTTGCCTGCGCTTGATGTTATTTTGGGTAGGAAGAAGAGGCTTTAAATGGCAGATAGTTCACAAGTTGCCTGATCTTATGGGCCCACTGTTAAAGCCCTTCAGCAAAGTTTTTAATAATTTTTCTTAGCCCTATAACAACTTTTAATCTGTATTAGATTTTGAAGGGCAAAGTTTGAATTGTTTAACTTCTTGAGAATTCCGGTTCATTTCTTTTGTCTAATTGATGTTTATTCTTAATTTTTAGGCTCTTGACAAATAATTACCTGTCTAATTTTATGTGTGTAGATGATTATATATTGAGCCCAATTGGCCACCTGGTTTGCATTATTATGCTGCTTATTTAATGTACTTATTGGATCTCTATTTTGTTTGGTCAGTCAGTAGCCAGTAATGAAAAACACATTGATTTCACCTTTTTATTTCAAGAGCAATTGATGACTTTTCTCAGACGCTATCAGATAATTTAATCAGCAGCTGTTGAAAACTGTTTTAATCAATGGATGAGAACATTTTCCTTGAGAGAAAGTTTATATGAGAAAATAACAGACTAGGGGGGTTAATCGAAAATTTAAAAAACACATCATGGTTGGACCTTTTTGCGAGTAATTGGGAACCTCTGCCAACTTTTACCATTTTCTCCCAAAGTAAATCAGTTGTCCAGCCATTTAATAAACTATAATTATGAAGATTTCTGCAACAGTAGAAGCA